ATCTACAATACCTATCGTGGGTTGGTTTAATCTAGAACACCCTGAGATACCACACAACCACAGTTTTGCTTTTCTGCAAAAGAGTTTTTATGAAGTTAATCTTATTTTGCTTTGGTGTCCGTCATGAAATTAGGGGAGCCATCATAAATAATATCATAAATAATCCTTAGATATAATGGATTCATACCTAAGAATTGGAAGACTCTCTGTATAAAGGATTCTAAAAACAAAACAAAAAACCTTCTTTGTAAATATTAACTATTTAAAATATAAATATTTTAAATGGTAAAGCTTAAAATTTTTCAACAGCTACTGTTTAACAATAATATATATTCTCTTTCTGCATATTTAACTAAAAGCAATGTCTTTATTAAAAAGAAAGATACAATTATCAAGAAAGAGATACAATTGTCAAGCCTTATAAAGTACCAAATATTACTAGGTATTAGCTCTCAGAATTTAGCAGTCATATTAATTGTGCTCTTGAGGAATCTGTATACAGACTGTTGTTGTTGTTATGTGCCATCGAGTCGGCCCCAACTCATAGCGACCCCTCCTTGGGTTTCTGAGGCAGTATCACTACAGAAGTAGGATTGCCCAACCTTCCTTCCGAGGAGTGGCTGGTGGGTTTGAACCGCCAGCCTTCTGGTTAGCAGTCAAGTGCTTTAGCCATTATGCTACCAGAGCTCCTATATACAGACTGAGAGACAGTAATTCAAACAGAATGAGAGGATACTATAAGGTTTCAAATCAGGAAAGGTGTGTGTCAGGGCTGTAACTTTTCACCACACTTACTCAATCTGTATGTTGAGCACATAATCCAAGAAGCTGGACTGTATGGAGAAGAACATGGTATCAGGATTGGAGGAAGCATCATGAACAACCTACAATATGCAGATGAAAACGAAGAAGACATGAAGCACTTACTGATGAATATAAAAGACTACAACCTTCAGCTTAACTACACCTCAACATAAAGAAAACAAAAATCATCACAACTGAGCCAGTACGGAAAATCATGATAAACAGAGAAAATATTGAAGTTGTCAAGGATTTAATTTTACTTGAATCCACAATCAATGCTCATGACAGCAGCCATCGAGAAATCAAAGGACATACAGCATTGGGCAAATGTATTGCAAAAGCCCTCTTTGAAGTGGTAAAAAACAAAAATGTCAGTCTAAAGACTAAGGTGTGCCTAACAGAAGAAGCTAGGGTATTTTCAGTCACCTCATATGCATGTGAAAGCTGGACAATGAATAAGGACAACCACAAAAGAATTGATTCATTTGAATCATGGTACTGGCAAAGAATAATGATTATACCATGGAATACCAGGTGAAGAAGCAAATCTGCCTTGGAGAAGTACAGACAAAATGCTCTTTAAAAGCAAAGATGGCAAGAATTCTCACTCACTTTGGACATGTTATCAGGAGGCACCAGTCCCTGGAGATGGACATCGTCCTTGGTAGAGAGTCAGTGAAAAAGAAGAAGACCATCAATGAAATGGATTGACACAGTGGCTACAACAGTAGGCTCAAATATATCAACAAATGTGAGGATGGTGGAAGACCAGGCAATGTTTCATTCTGTCGTACATAGTGTCGCTGTGAATCAGAATTTACTCAACAGCACCTAAAACAACACCACCTGGAAGGAAAGTCCTGCCAGTAGCTGACAGGACAAAATGAAGGACGAGGGGATAATTTCCCTTGAAATATATTTTTTTATTGGATTATTGAATTTCACTAATTTGAAATTATTTAATTGAATTGTAAAATAGGGAATTTCTTATCAATATGACAAAGAGGATCCACAAAATTGTAATTCATAGAATTTTCACTGATACACTCATTTGTCTTTACTTTTAATTCCAGAATTTACAAGAAGTATTAAACATGAGGTTTTAATTGATGCTAAGGAAAAACAGATTTCCAAGGTCATGTTTTCAACGACAAAAGTAAAGGTTATAGAATAAAAGTTACAGTTCACTTTCAGAGTTCTTTCCTCACATAGTATAATTTTTCAGATTTCTTCCTTTTCCACTTTGTGAGAACCTATCTTCCTCAGAGGACTTGAGAGGTGGGAAATAAATAAAGCAAGAGGCACAGATGGAAGGGTAAGGCTAAAGAGCTTTGGGTTGAAACTTCTGTAGTCTCCATAGCCCAGGAGGTGTTAACAACATGTAAGCCCTCTGAGCTTCCAATTTTTTTTTTTATTGTTAAACATTAACGAAGTTAGCATATAGCCAAAAAGATTGTACTCCCAAACTTTATCTAACAGCCTTAGAAACACACTGTTTAATGTGTCTATTAGCTGAACTTGGGAGACACGTTACTGCAGATTAGATTTGGGGAAGAGATACTGATATACATAGTGATTTAGGAGATAATAGTTATGGCTATCATTCATTAGAAAAAGTTTGCCTGTCTTAAATTTAAATAATCATTTCCAAAAATACACATCCTCCAAACCTATTAATTTGAAAATATCCATATTTTCTTTTTTAAAGTTTGTAACACGACACAACCATTGCCATGGAGTTGGATCTGACTCATAGCGACCCCTCTTTGGGTTTCCAAGGCAGTTTCACTATGGAAGTAGATTGCTCAACCTTCCTTCCAGGCAGTGGTTGGTGGGTTTGAACCACCAGCCTTCTGATTAGTAGTCAAGTGCCTTTGGCACTATGCCAAAACAGTTGTCAGAAAAGGCAATTTTCACCTGTTACCTTAAGCTATTATGATTCCTAAACACTAGACTTTTGTGTATCCTCCAAAATTTCTCATAAATGCTAATTTTTCATGATGCTGTATAACAAGAAGAAAATTGAAATAAATCAGTCATCTTGACTTTCAAATAGCTACATTTGGTGTTTTTAAAACAATATGAAGTGCCTGACTGTGAATATGTCTATCCATAAGAAGCCCTTCAGTGAGTTCAGACAGTTAGTCATACATAGCTCATTTGCTTGAAAATGGCCCTTTTGCTAAATTTTTGCATATATTTTGGCCTCACATTTTAGCATAACAGAAATATAATTAAAGTTCACTTTATATTAACTGATTTTTAAGTGAAATAACTGAATAAAAAAGTTAAAGAGGGAAGAGAAGCAAAGTAGGAAAATTAATGGCCCAGTGCCTAAGGCATTTGACTGTTAACCAAAAGGTTGGCAGTTCAGAAAACCCACCAGCCACTCCATGGAAGGAAGACTGGCAAACTACTTCCATAAAGATTTATCGCCTCAGAAACCCAATACGGGTCGCAAGTTGGAATTGACTTGATGGCAGTGGGTTTGGTTTTGGTTTTGTATATAAAGAAGGTGCAGTAGTTAATGAATTTGGCAACTAACCAAAATGTCAGCTGTTCAAACCCACCAGCTGGTCTGTGAGAGACAGATGAGACAGTCTGCCTCAGTAAAGATTTACAGCCTGGGAAACTCCATGGAGCAGTTCTATTCTGTCATATAGGATCGCTATGAGTCGGAATCGACTCAGTGGCAATGAGTTTAAATATATATAAAACATATGTAAATAAAGGAGAACAGGGATTTATATTACCTTGAAAGCATATGATCAAATGTTAGATGTGTGTGTGTGGGTGTGTGTGTGTGTGTGTTTAGCCCCTGGATCTTGGACTCCCTATAGACATGGAACCAGAACTTAAGTGATATGGCACTCACTAGATGCCTTCCAGATAAAGGTATCCTTATGCCATTACCAGAAACTACTCTAACATGGCAAACTTAGATTTTTTGTCAAGATAATCAAGCAAATGATTTTCCAGTTCTATTTGGTTGTGTTTCTTTGTTCATTTTTTAGTTTATTCATTGTCATTTTTTTTTTTTTTTGTCCTGTACTGTAATTCATCTCAGTACTTGCTGCCCCAACTATCTACAACACATTTTCCTTCCCTCAACTGTCCTTTGCTGAACTAACTCTTCCTCATCCTTCAAGAGTCCAGGAATCATCCCATTTCATTCCTAAACAATCAGTTTGCTGTCACAATTGTACTTCAACAGCAGATACAGGAGCTGTATTTAGCAGCCAGTATTGCTAAAAAATTGGAGCTTTGGTGGTGCAGTGCCTAAGGCATTTGACTACTAACCAGAAGGTTGGCAGTTCAAACCCGCCAGCCACTCCATGGAAGGAAGATGAGACAATCTACTTCTATAAATATTAACTACTTTGAAAACCCAATGCAGGTATCTATGAATCAGAATCAACTCAATGGCAGTGAATTTGGTTTCAGGAATTTATTGCAAAAGTAGGGCAGTTGTGGTTCAGTGGTAGAATTTTCACTTTCTATATGGGAATCCTGGATTTGATTCCCAACCAATAGACCTCATGCACAGCACCACCTGTCTGTCAGTGGGGCTTACATGTTGCTATTATGCTGAACAGGTTTTGGAACTTCCAGGCCAAGACAAAGAAGAAAAGTCTGGCAATGTACTTCCAAAAATCAGCCAATGAAAACCCCAATGGATCACAATGGTCTGATGGCACAGGACTGGGCAGCATTTTCGTCCATTGTGCATGGGGTCACCTTGAGTCAGAGTTCTACTCAACAGGTGCTGCTAACAACAACAACATTGCAGAGGTAGTAGCTAATCAGAATGGACAGACAGGCCAATAAGAATAGATGCCAGCTGTAAACAACCAGTACCAGTGTGTAGTTGGTGAGTATCAGCTGTGCTCAAAGCATAAGTGGAATAAGATGTGTACACTACCATGGTACTTCTCATGATTTATAATTTTTTGTTTATCTATATCCTTTGTAGTCTGTGACAACCTTATGGACATGGGCCAATCATATTCACTCTGGAATCCTATATTGCATGAATTTTGGTACAAGGAAGACCCCAATTAATATCTTTTGAATTTAGTAAAGGTAATCTATATTAAGAGGACTCCCTTGAAATTAAAATGTTTTATATTATAATACTAAAGAAATAAATCACTTTCTGTTACTTCATAGCTTTAACCACTGGAAGTTAGCGAATAATGAATCCACTTCCCTCATCCTGTTGGAACACCTCTGTTGAACTTTTGAACAAATCCTTGGATAAAGAATTTGCTTATCAGGCCCCCAGCATTGTTGATGCTGTCATCCTTCCTTCCATGATTGGAATTATCTGTTCAACGGGGCTGGTTGGCAATATCCTCATTGTAGTCACTATAATAAGGTAAGAGCTTTTTTTTTTTTTTCCTTTCATAACTAGGAAACCATATACTATACATTGTGAATGCATTCTTTCTCCCCTGTAGGGCTGTGCTTAATAAAATTAAGTTTACTGTTGTTGTTATGTGCCATCAAGTCAGACCCAACTCACAGGGACCCCTCCTTAGGTTTCTGAGGTAGTATCACTATGAAGTAGATTGCTCAACCTTCCTTCCAGAAATTAAGTTTGGGAAGTATGAAAATAATTAATGAAGTTTGTAGAAATATTTTATCATGTATGAGGTAAAATCTGATCGGCAGATCTCAAAAAGGTAAGACATAGGCCAATGCTTACTGCTGGGCCAGTGAATTTTTAGAAAAACAATTCTCAATCTTAGCTGAATACTAGAATCCTGGCCATCTTTTTAAAATGCTGATACCAAGTCACACCCCAGAAAAATTAAATCAAAATCTCTAAAGGTGGCACCCAATCAGGGATTGAAAATTGCAATACAATCATTTTCTTTCCCAGCACTAAGAGCTAACTTAAAAAGCTGACCTGCTTTATCACTCATTTGGGCAAGGGAGAGACTCTACTTAATCACCCAGAGATGCAATGAATCATCAATGGTGGACTCATCCCCTCAATGTAAACTATATCCAGAACAAACTGAGACACTTCTGCTCCCTAGAACCTCCTACATTTGCTCCACATCTCTCACCTCATTTAGGTAACTTCCTCTTTCCTCACAAACCTAGAGCACAATGTTTAACCTGGAGAATAAGAACAGAGTATTTGTTCTCCATGGATTTGACAAAATGGACTTAGAATTAATGGGTGTACTAGTGCTATTTGATATTTTGGTTATCCTGGTTATATTTACATTTCTCTTTTACAGTCTTTAATCAGTAAACTTTAATTTTCAATCAGTAAATTTAAAGTTTTTTTAATTCTGATCTCTGATCATACTTATAATTTATCTTGGTCTCTGATCACACTTACAACCATCACTTAGAAAAAAATTTCATCCATATTTATTGTATTATAAAATAATAAGATAAGAAGTGCAACCAGAATGCTCCTTGGAAGCAAGAATGGCCAGACTTCGTCTCATCTACTTTGGTCATGTGGTCAGAAGGAACCATTCCCTGGAGAAGTATATCATGCTTGGGAAAGTGGAGGGTCAATGAAGAAGGGGAAGGCCGTCAATGAGGTGGACAGATGCAGTGACTGCAACAATGGGCTGAGGTAGAGCAAGGATCATGAGGCTGGTACAATACCGGGCAGTATTTCATTCTGCTGTGTATAGGGGGGCACTATGAGTTGGAGACAACTCAACGGCACCTAACAACAATAACAACAATATAAGAGAAGATATTTTACATAAAGAAATGTTAATGGAGCTTATTAAATGAATATTTTAATCTTTCAAAAACCATTTGGAAGTAACTGAATTTATGGTACACTTTTTTTGGGGGGTTAATGTTCTCCAAAAATTTAAGCACATTTTTTTCATAATATTTTCGTATTGCCTTGAGGAGATGTTTTATTTGTTACAACCTTAATAAATGAGTGGCTTGGTTAAAATATGAAAACTATCTCTGGTAGCATAGTGGCTAAAGCACTTGACTGCTAACCAGAAGGCTGGCGGTTCAAACCCACCAGCCACTCCTCGAAAGGAAGGTTGGGCAATCCTACTTCTGTAGTGATACTGCCTCAGAAACCCAAGGAGGGGTCGCTATGAGTCAGGGCCGACTCGATGGCAAATAACAACAACAATCATAAAATAAGGGAAATGTTGTTATGTTGTTAAGTGCCATCGAGTCGTTTCCGACTCATAGCGACCCCATGCACAGCAGAATGAAACACTGCCTGATCCCGCACCAGCCCCACCATCCCTGCTATACTTGAGCCCATCATTGCAGCCACCGTGTCAATCCATCTCGTTGAAGGCCTCCCCCTCTTTCGTTGACCCTCCACCCTACCAAGCATGACATCCTTCTCCAGGGAATGGTCCCTTCTTACAACATGACCAAAATAGGTGAGATGAAGTCTGGCCATTCTTGCTTCCAAGGAGCATTCTGGCTGCACTTCCTCCAGGAAGATCTGGTAGTTCTTTTAGCAGTCCACGGTACTTTCAGCATTCTTCGCCAGCACCACAACTCAAAAGCATCAACTCTTCTTCAGTCTTCCTTATTCATTGCCCAGCTCTCACATGCATACAAGGCAATTGGAAATATCATGGCTTGTGTCAGGCGCACCTTAGTCCTCAAGGAGATATCCTTGCTCCTCAGCACTTGAAACAGTTCCTTCGCAGTTGACTTTCCCAATGCTACACGTCGTCTAATGTCCTGACTGCTGCTTCTGTTGGCATCGATTGTAGAACCAAGCAATGTGAATTCTTTGACAACCTCAATCTTCTCTCCATTTATTATCCCTCTCCATTTATTGTGATGCTGCTCATTGGTCCACTACATGGTTTAAAATCAAGAAGGGAGTGTGTCAGGGTTGTATCCTTTCTCCACACTTATTCAATCTATATGCTGAGCAAATAATCTGAGAAGCTGGACTATATGAAGAAAAACGTGGTATCAGGATTGGAGGAAGAATCATTAATAACCTGAGATATGCAGACGATACAACTTTGCTTGCTGAAGTGAGGATGACTTAACCTCATCCTACTGATGAAGGTTGAAGAATACAGTCTGCAGTATGGATTACCTCTCAATATAAAGAAAACAAAATAAGGGGAATAGACATATTTAAATAAAATTTAATGAATTTATCATTTATGGTAAAACATTTGTATCAGAGAATGAGCATCAATAAGAACTAAAAGTCAATAAGATCATTAGTGATGCTGGGATGCAAGTAATGATCTAATTTATGGATTTGTCAACAGTAGACTAGAAATATGTATTTTTTAAAAATAAACTTAAGGAAGATGGAGATTCAAGAATAAGATGCTCTCTGTGACTTTTTAAAAAAACAAGAAGTGGTCTATAAAAGAATAAGGCCAGATCATTATTAGTCTATTTTACCAAACAATTTATAGCAAGTCAAAAGGAAGTCAGTTTAGAAAATATAAGAAGAAAATTGCACCTATTATAACATTATATCTTCCCTTTAAATTCCCAGGAGACAGGTTAATGTCCACATTCTGTCATTCTTCCCCTCACCTCCTTGACAGATCAACTAATGCACTACATTTATCACAAAGTACTAAATATACCTTATTTTTTAACCCTCCAAATAGCACCACCACCACTCATCTGTCAGTTTGTCATGCTGTGGTGGATTGTATGTTGCTTTGAGACTGGACGCTATGCCACCAGTATCTCCAGCACCAGCAGGGTGACCCATTGTGGACAGTTTTCAGTGGAGTTTTCAGACTAACACAGACCATCCACTTCTGAAAAAAATTGGCCAGTGAAAATGTTATGAAAAACAGTGAAACACAGTCTGATGTATTACTGGAAAACTTTATGAATAACTCTGAAACATTGTCTGATATATACCAGAAGATGAGTCCCTCAGATTGGAAGCCACTCAAAATAAGATTGGAGAACAGCTGCCTTCTCAAAGGGAGTCAACCTTAATGATGTGGATGGAGTAAAGCTTTCTGGACCTTCATTTGCTTATAGGGCATGACTCAAAATGTGAAGCCACAGCTGCAAACATTCATTAATAATCAGAATATGGAATGTACAGAGTATGACTCTAGGAAGATTGGAAGTTGTCAAAAATGAAATGGGATGCATAAAGATCAATATCCTAGGCATTAGTGAGCTGAAATGGCCTGTATTGGCCATTTTGAACTTGATAATCATATGGTCTACTGTGCAGGGAATGACAAATTAAAGAGAAATGGCATCACATTCATCATCAAAAAGAACATTTCAAGATCTGTCTTGAAGTACAAAGCTGTCAGTGATCGGATGATATCCATGCACCTATAAGGAAGACAGTTAATACTATTGTTATTCAAATTTATGCACCAATCATTAAAGCCAAGGATAAAGAAATTGAAGATTTGTACCAATTTCTGCACTCTGAAATTGACCAAACATGTTATCAGGATATATTGATAATTACTGGTAATTTGAATGCAAAAGTTGGAAACAAAGAAAAATCATCAGTATCAAGAAAATATGTCCTAGGTGATAGATAAGATGCTGGAGATGACATGATAGAATTTTGCAAGGCCAATGATTTATTCATTGCAAATACCTTTTTTCAACAACATAAATGGGAGGTATACACGTGGACCTCACCAGATGTAATACACAGGAATCAAATTGACTACAGCTGTAGAAAGAGGTAATGGAGAGAAGCTCAATATCATCAGTCAAAGCAAAGCCAGGAACTGAGTGTGGAACAGATCATCAATTGCTCATATGCAAGTTCAAGTTGAAGCTGAGGAATATTTAAACAAGTCCAGGAAAGCAAAAATACATCCTTGATTATATCACACCTGAATTTAGAGACCATCTGAAGCATAAATATGATGCGCTGAACACCAATGACCAAAGACCAGGAGAGTTGTGGAATGACATCAAGAACATTATACATGAAGAAAACAAAGATCATTAAAAAGACAAGAAAAGAGCAAAATTGATGACAAGAAAAGAGCAAAAAAGACTCTGAAACTTGCTCTTGAAGGGAAAATAGCTAAAGTTAATTAGAAAACTGATGATGAAATAAAAGAGCTGAACAGAAAATTTCAAAGGGCAGTTCTAGAAGACAAAGTAAATTATTATAATGTAATGTGCAAAGACATGAAGTTAGAAAACAAAAAGAGAGGAACACACTCAGCATTTCTCAAGCTGAAAGGACGGAAGAAAAGATTCAAGCCTCAAGTTGCAATATTGAAGGATTCTATGGGCAAAATAATGAATGATACAAGAAGCATCAAAATAATAACATGGAAGGAATACACAGGGTCACTGTACCAAAAAGAATTGGTCAACGTTCAACCATCTCAGGAAGTAGCATATGATCAAAAACCAATGGTATTGAAGAAG